ATAATGTATATAATGTATATAATGTATTTTTTTGGTTCTGGTCTTTGCATCGAAAGAGTAAGATTTGGATGATTGTTGCTTTAGTCGTGCACGTTTTTATGACGGGTGGGATTTTCTCCAGCTTTTCTTACCTTAGTGCTCAGTTTTATTGACATGTTTACCTCTGTCAGAGATGATGTTTCCATGTGTGATGGTTTTTCTGACAGGAAAGCTGCAGTGGAGCTTGAGAAGTTCCAGATGATTTTTGATGTTTCTTTTTTTAAACCAGAAAAACACAGCAGTGATTCATTGTTGTTCACTCTAAATCCCATTTTAATTACATTTGTTAGTAAGATTAGGATATAAAATGATGTTGAAGCAACATTGGTGCATGTTTTTTTTGTATAATAAATGTTTTTTGCCTTACAGCCCACATCTCCAGTGTTTGTTTGTAGTTGAAATGTTTTTGGTGGCATTTTTTTAAATCAGAACATGTTTAAACAAATAGCTTCACATATAGCTTGAACAAATTGCTCTTTTTATGTCTTCCTTTTTAGCAGCAACACTGCTGCCAGTAAATGCCTAAAGATGAGCTTAAAGCTGTCTTCTCCTCTCACATTAGCGAAGCTTTGATTTGATTATTCAGAACAGAACATTAACCCGGCTCTGCCCCAGCCTTGTTGTCTTGTCTTCAGCCACTTTTACACCTTCTGTTGCCTTTGACTCTAATGTAAATTTAGCTGCACGAAAGGCACAGCAAGCTCAGTTTTGATGCCTTATGTAGGTCAATTCTTCTTCAGCGCTCACTGCTTAGCTTTGTGATGAGTGATTTCATTTTGTGAGGCAACTGCAGTTTTATTATTCATACTCTGAAAAAGACTGTGGTTCATTAAAGCATGACTGTCATTTTTCAACTTGAAGAATTCTTATTTTCTTTTCCCCAAATTGGAACAAAACTGAACATTCAGTGCTGGTCTGAACAGTTTCCCCCACATCTTTCAAAAATCTTGTTGTGCTCCATCTCTACATGTCATTCTTTTGGTTTTTTAGCACTTTCAGACATGAATAAATTTGTTGGTATTCTTTTCACAATAGTCAAGGAAACACAACTAAAGAGTCTTGAGCCAAAAAGCTCCAGTTTTGTCTCATCATTCTCAGAAACTTCTTCCAAAAGCTTTGGGGGCTATTCAACATGATTTTGGCAAATTTTTGTCTTGCCTTTTTTTATTTGTTGTTGTTTTTCTGCCAACAGTGAAGCCCTCCTGAGTTTTCTTCCTTGGAGCCCATTATGATTCAAAAAGCGACGATGAAGCGATCAGAAAGTGACGCATCTTGACATTGGAGTTCAGCTCAAATGATTTTGGATGCCTTTCTTGGCTTGTTTTTCTTCCATCTGCACTTGGGGTTGCATTTCCTTCATTGTCCATGCCTTAGGAGGTTGGCTACAGTCCCATGAACCTTATCCACCCTAATAATATAGGTCAGTGGTCCCCAAACTACGGCCCGCGGGCCGGATCTGGCCCGCCTCCCCATTTGGTCCGGCCCCCAAAACAATACCAGAGAGCATTTAGTTTTTTTTATATGTGTATTTATATTTGATTATAAAGTTGGACTTTTGCAATAAAATGTTCCTTAATTATGAACTATTTTCATTATTAACTATTATTATTAGTAATATATACAGTACATAATAATAATAGTAACTATTTCATACATAAACACATATAACGTGACATTC